CCTGCAAAATATGCTTGGGCGTGGCACATATGGAACTGGGGGTGACCTATCCTTGGGAACATCTTTGAAGTCATTTTTATGAGATAGTCTTATTTTTTTGCTGCAAACAGCACAATTTCCCCTAGTTGCAAGCATTTCTGGCATATGTGCACCCACATTTTGGAGTCGTAACTCCTCATTTCGTGGCGCATTTGGGGTCTTTGGTTGGGTACGGGAATTCCCTATCAGACCCTCGGCCAACTCATACCTGAAGTCCAAAGCAACCCTCCTAGGTCTGTTTGTTCCCTCCCTTTCATGGCATTCAATGACAAAGGCATTGTGAATGGCCACCTCTACCTCATGGAAAAGAACACGACGGTACCACTTCACTGTTTTCCTGATACAAGTGTAATACCTTAGCATTTGATCAGCTTGATCAACCCCACCCATGCAATTATTATAATCCTTCAACAAGGGTGGGCAAGGGACATCTCCACTTTCCCCTCCCTCTCCCGCCCCTCTTCGCCGAACAACCCTTGCCTCAGCATTTGCCCGACGTGGAAATTCAGGGGGGTGAATGGTAGACAAAAAATAAACAGCTTTGCTGTCTAGCCACCCAACAGCAAGAAGTGGACCACACATCCGCCATTGATATGTGCCCCTGGCCAAGCCCCTGGTCCCTTCAAATAATATTTCATTCGGAAAATTCTTCCTCGATCCCTTGATGGTCCCACAAGCATAAATACTGTTTTCAAATAAATACTGATAAAGATCCACGCTTGTGTAAAAATTATCAGTATATAAATGATGGCCAAAACCCTCCAATCCAGTGCACAATTCCTTTACCACCCTAGTTGCTAGTCCCACCTCTGCCCTTTCCCCTGGATTTCTCCCTATATACAATTGCTGCCTATAAATATATGTACTTTCTGAATCTGCCAAGACCCAGACTTTGATGCCAAAACGGATTGGCTTACTTGCAATAAACTGGCGGAAGGACAAACGCCCCCTCCAAGGAATCATACATTCATCAATAGATATGTTCTTATGGAGATTATAAGCTTTTTCAAAGTTAGGAAAAAGCAGTTCCAATAGTGGCTTTATTTTGTGTAACTTATCGTATCCTGGTTGTCCAACAGGAACAATAGCAGCATCATCAGAGACATGCAAATAGCGCAAAATCTGGAAAAAGCGATTCCTGGGCATGACTTGACCAAAGGCAGGAACATTAGTAAGCCATTTCTGCTGCCAGTACATTTTAGCCTCAGGCAATTTCACAATTCCCATGGCAATGTTTAGTCCAAAGAATGCCTTCAGTTCTTCCAGGGTCACATCTTTCCAGGCCCCACCATCAGTACCAGCAGCCCTCTTCCTTTGTGCATTCAGGTTTGTCATTGTCAATAACAAATTCCACACATGGTGGTCAAAAAACAGTTCAAAGTACTCAAGAGCACTTGCCTGCCTCCTCTCACCTCGTCTTGTTGGCCCGACAGCACTTGTAAACTGTTTTAAATTTCTCCTGCTGTTTTCCTCTAACCAAACATATTGTTGGCCGCCATCTTGGATTCTGGCTCCTCGGTTTCCTCCTCTCCTCCCTCTGGCTCTCACCGCTCCTTGGCCTCTTCTTCGACCACGTGCTCTGCCAATGGCTTCTCGAAGCTGTCGAGACCTGTCTTGTCGCTGTTCTCTCACATATTCACGACGATCTACCTCACTTTCACTCGAAGACTCGCATTCTTCATCCGATAAAGAAGGACTGTCGCCAGAATTATCCTCAATTCCCACTGAATTCTCAGGAAAAACGGCCACAACTTCCTCATCTTCGATCTCTTACTCAGACGAGTCATAAGCGATCGATGGGTCGGCGTCCATCGCATCTAGCCGCTCTAAAACTTCTTCTACAGACAAATTTTCTCGAATTCGACAAGTCGCCATTTTTAAATATCCTGATGATAAACAAGAAAGGTGTAACTATCCGAGAAAGGCAAAAAATTGCGAGGAAAACGTCCCAAACTAGCCAGAATAAGACTCAAAACAACACTGATGGCTTTTAATCGTACCCAGACTCCGACTTCACGGTTGTAACACGAGGAACGCCTGGAGCTTTTTGTGTGTGGTCCAGGTAGCCCTGCAGGGCTACCTGGGAAGGAAAGGGTTAATACCATATACCCAAAAACCCTGGCCGACCCTGATAACTATCACACGATGGAGTCGTTTACAGCTAAACCTATAACGAACCTTTATGAGAGGGTGGGAGTAGAAGTCTAAGGCCTTCGCAAGATCAAAAATGGAAACTTGGCATTCCATCACAAGTGCCAGGGTAAATTCCATCAGACTTGTGGTGAATGCCAAGGTTGGTTCCACTGGCGTAGCAGGCCACAAACCTTGAAACAGAAAACTCTCTGCCACACTAAAACAAGTGCAACAGAGAATCTTCAATAGATGCTGACCACCTTCAGAAAAAAATATTCAACAAGGAAGAACATTGCTGACTTTATACCGATATTTTAATAACCTTAGAATTAAGATCACCAAAACAATATAAATGTTTACAATATATTAAATAACTGCAAAAAGTGAATACCAGGACTACATTAACATGAACAACAATCATGGTTTGGTCTTTAGGGATAGCTTTACTTCTTTCATCTATAACCGTTATTTCCCTTGGGTAGGAAAATGAGCAAGAATGATAGGGATTACTCAATGTCCTGTCAGGAACAGTGTGCAATTTCCAAACACCGTCTTGAAAAATTCAGTATAAAAAAAAGACAAGCTTAATAAATTTCTTAAACCCGGGTTACTCCTCTGGGCAAAAAAACAAAATTGATAATTATAAAGGTCATGCATACCTGTATTATTTCTGGGTGATGAAAATGATGTTTGGTCTGATGCAGGTGATTACAGCAATCAAGGCAGAAGTATGCCGTAAAGCTACAATCCCTGCATCGACTTTCCACCGTTTTACCACAATTACATTGATGGGGCACGAAACCTTCCATTTCAACAGAGAACTTCAGCAATGTGGATCGCAAGGATTCCCAGTTTTTGTGGAGCCTTTCCTTGCGCATTTTGTAGGAGCTGGTGGAGGAAGTGGGCACCACATCATTGTTGGAATCTGGCGGGTCACCATCACACAAAGTGCACGGATCTTCCTCTTCTTCACCTCTCTTTTTCCAGAGGCAGAGTAGAAGGAAGTTGGACGGTGGATTTCCGGGTTTTATTTGATCTGTCTACCACTTTAAAGGAGGAAAATCCTTTCATCTTACCCGGCCCAAAAAACATTCCCATCAAAATCCAATATGGCGTCTCTTATGGGCAATTTAGTTACTCATTCACCCCTCCCCCAGGTCTAGATTTGTCAATAGGTCTATCCCGATTATAATGCATTAATTGACTGGTTACAACGTCATTACAAGTCCAGTAGTTACTGGGTTACAACGTGAGGAACGGGTGTTATCACAAGGCAGAAGCCATTATTGTTTTCTATTTTGCGAAGTTCAATGTTCAGCGCCCATTTTTCTGGACAATTTGGAGTATAAAACTTTGCCATACAGATATGGACTATGGTAAGTTTGTGTTTAGAGATTTCTCGGCAAAACAGAGTATAAAAAAAATCGTTTATTTTGCAATTTAATCAATTTCTTGGCGATGAAAAATCGCACTCGCCAAACGGGCGAGTGATCTGTGATTTGCACTCGCCCGACACTTTTGACACTCGCGTGGCCGAGTGCAAATGTCCAACCCTCCTTCACAGAATTCGTTGAATTTCCTCCTTAAAATATTTCAGGCTTCTCAAAGGTCATGTGATAAATTCGTAGTTATATCACAAGAAATGTAGTGTTTTACCAAAGTTGTGTCTCTTTAAGTGGCTTTTAACATCTTGGGCTGCTCATACGCCTATAACAATTTCGGAAGCAAGTTACAGATTCATACAACTTGTTTTGAGCATTCATTCATCTAAATCGAATGAGAATTTAATATGGTTGCAACTTGGAGTGGTTATCAGGTGTGATCAAAGAAGGCCTACATCCAGTAATCCTGTTGACTTCCATGCTGTGTCAACATAATCGAAGAAAGCAGTTAGTTGTATCAGATTAACTCATATGTCCAAGGAACTTAATGAGTACTGCTTGATCGGACTTCACCTCTCAGTAACGTGAACAACAACTGCAGCGAATAAACAAAAATCAAATACGGATTGTAGATGATCTAAACGCTCGGCTCAAGGTAGACGCTCCTTAATTCACACAATTCGTTTAACTTCCTCAAAATATTTCAGGCTTCTCAAACGTCGTGTGATAAATTCGTAGTTTTATCACAAGAAATGAAGTGTTTTGATCAGTAGCACGGTACATACGTACAAATGCGTAACATGCTAAGGAAATATAAAAAAATTTGAATGAACTTCAAAATTCATTTAAAATCATTTATTTGCACAGAAAATGAACTTCTATAATAAAATTACAACTTGTTGACCTATTTGAAATTAGTTGGAGCAATTTCTGTAGTACCCTGAATGCAATGAGGTCCCGCCCATTTCACGTTTTTAAACAATATCGGGTTAGTTTTTCTGATAAAAAATTGTCTTAAATGCAAATGAAACAAAAGTAAAGCCAAATCAAAGTTTTAGCTGTATTTTATCAGATAAAGCAGATAAAGTATAATTATGGAAAAGGTTGTACACTAGGATAAAATAATTATTAAGGCAAATTTTGATCACAAGGGAATCAGAGTTGCCCACAACATAGGTACAGTTTACTTTCGGTAAGGTTACCAACAATATTTGTGTCAAAAGTTTGCTACAATGAAGTAATTATGTCCTCTTGTACATCCATTGCCACCCGGTACACCTTGTTACGACCCTTTCCTTCCTTTTTAAGTTCTGAGCACACATAACGGACTGTTCCAGGATGAACCATCGCTTTCTTCTTGACATCGAGCTTATAATTCATGACTGTCAAGTTATGTCTCAGGTAAATTGGCCCTTCAAAACTATGTTCCCTGCTTGAAACTGACAGCCATAGTCATCGGTTTCCTTGGCTCTTAAAGTCACAAGGCCATTACTCGTCACCTTCATTAGTCGTATGAGTCATCATCTTGTGCCACAATGGCTGCCCTCATTGATCAGATCCGCAACACGTAGATGTAATGGCTCTGTCGAAAGGGGTTGGTCATCTTGCGTGCGTGTTCCTGCAGGGTATGCCTCTCGCTCTAACTTGACGTTTTCAAAGTAATCTACAAGATCCTTATTCTTGCAAGAAGAATTTTCATAGAGGCATTCAGCGCAGTAACGAGCATTGACTTACAAGGACCTTCAGTTTCTGAGACGGTTAACGGTTACCTTAAGATCTTGGGTAAGGTGTTTTCCTATGAGCCACTGTGCATGATGCACGGAGTTGAAATCCTGCAATGGGTCGTCACTGATCACGAAAACATGCTCCTTGAGGACATATGGATTCTCAGTTGTACTTTCCTTTCCATCAGTGTCCATAGTTGCGAGGCGGAACATAACAGTGATATGGAGGCTTGCCTTATTAGGTCCTACAACAAATGAAAGGACTTTGGTACCCATTTTCACCATGTCTTCCATATGTCTTCCTTCTCTTTTAAGTTGGTGTTGTAAAAACACCGAATCGTACCCTTTCAGATTATGAAAGATACAAATGACATCTCGATTTTCACCATACTCATTCACTGTCAATAAGGTGAGAAACGCCAAGAAATCTGCCGTACAATCAGACCCATAGAAAGAATAAATAGTATCAGAGAGAGAGGTGGCAGCACACACGAGAATAGGTAGATGTATTTTGTCAGGAGAAAGCATGGCTTCAAAATCCGCATAGACAAAGACAGGTGGGTCCACATAGATAGAAGCGTTGGGATTAATTCCTCGATGATACTCGAGTAGTTTTTTAGTCTTCTTTTCCTTAAAATCTTCAGGTTTGACACATTGAATGTAACACTGATGGTCTAAAAGATGGACAGTTTTCTTGGAGATACGGCACTTGTCGTAATGGCATCGGTGAGGCTCTTTCATCTCTGGGATCAAATTGTTTGCAACATTCAGGACATCGTTTCAGTGTTTGACATACACCTTGCGTGACATGTAATTGTAGACACGTTTCATTGTAAAACTTCCGATGACAGGCATTGCGGGGCAGCGAAGGGGAACCACGTTTAGGACCACATTCTGGTTGTTTAACGTCGACTGTCATAGGGATAATTTCGAAAATCTTCGTGATCGTAGCCTCTGTTACACAGGTCGCAAAAATAGGATCTTTCTAATAAAGATTTATTTCTTAAATTAATTTTAATTGCATTTGTGTTTAACTTATATGTACAGAAATTTTTGAAAAGTACTCAGTGAGAAGTTTATCATACGATAAGCCTTCAAACTTGTATTAAATAAATTGATGTACATATTTCACAATTTTAAGATGATTGTGTGATGACAGTACACCGGCTGTCAACATTTGAATATTCAGCTTGAGCTTCCTCCTAAATGTTAAGTATTTCAATTTGAACTTGTAGAATATAACCTATGAATTAAATGTGGGTCTATAAGTATCATCCATGAAATTCTTACAGGCAATTTTCATCATGATATTAAAGCACCACAAATACAAGAACAAGGAAAAATAAGTTACGCAGACAAAAGTGACGAAGAAATTCATTGTTTTCATTATTTTGAATTCATTCATAATTTTAAATACAAATCACTCAGACCATTGCCAGTATTTTTGTGGTTACTGCTGATGATCAAACTTGACTGTCTAGAGAATACATTGGTGTGGTTGGAATCAACTACAATCGTGTTTATTAGTATTTTGAATTTTGAGCTCTTAAATGAACCCCTTAAATTCTGATTGAAATAACATAATGAAAGTGATTTTTGGATACATTTTAATATCATTGCAATTGTGTTATTGTTGCAATTATTGTTGCAAAACATATGACCTCCCAATATATATTTTTTTGTTCTTTACACGACTAGCTGTACAGCGTTTGTAGATTTGCTTTTGTAGCAGGCAAGCTTCTACACTTGTTGCATCTTCATTTCCGATTAGTGTTGATTGCCCATGCAGGAATTGTTACACATGTTGGCTGATACCAGTGTTTACACTGGCAACACTCCACGTTTAGACTCTCTTTGTCATATGGCATTCTACACACACAGTAGATTGTCACTGCTTTTCTTTTGTTGATTGCATGATATGGTACCCGTCTTGACGTTCTTGGGAAAGGAACCATATTATGTGAGTTCAGGCAGTTGATGTAATGTTTGCGCATGTTGTCTTGGTCATATGACTGCACTGTGGGGTTTAGGCCAGGGACACCTGCCTCTTCGTGAAGTTTTCGGGCTATGCGTGCTTAATAGGCTTCTCGATAATTTATTATATGATAATGTCGCTTGGTGTCTCTACTGTCATCTTTGTGCAACCAGGCTTTAGTGACACAAATAACTCTTGCGCAACAAAGGACATCATCATTCTGAATGCTAAGTACTAATTGTTGTTT